CCTTTTAAAAATTGCGTCTTCGAATAATTTTGTTGATACAAAATCTTCTTGTCTCGTTTCATTTACAATAAAATTATTACCTTTCCGACACTTTTTAATAATCTTGTAATAATCTCGGGGAACGAACGGTAAATTATTTTTTTTTAATGACATTTCTACCACGCGAAAATCTCTATCATTTGGTAAAAACGAATGTCCTGATATTAAAAATTTGTGATCTATGATTTCCACATTATTTTCCAAAGTTTGGACAATTATTAACCACATTAAAGCTACTTTAATGTTTCTATTTTGCTCGGCGCACATGTCACTGTAAGCTATAACGTGTCTTTCACTTCTTAAATTTTTAACATGTTTTAGGATGCATGAAACAATTTCATGAGCACCTCTGGATGCAATAGTTTCATCCCAAACGTGCATGTAAACATTAAATATCTTGATTTAAGTATAAATGGAGTTAGGCCACTTTCAAACTACAAGGTTCAATTATTGAACTAACTCTGAAAATTGCTACGTGAAATTGTTAACATTGTGGACAGAAAATATTCTACTATTCAGTAAATAATAAAAAAATTTTAAATAGTTGGTAAATATGAAAATAAAACACGCCGTGGTCGTCCTGAAATTCTAAATAATAGTGATGTTCGATCTGTACTGTAAATTGTTCGTCAAATCCAAAAGTAAGTGCTCCAAAAATAGCCTCAGATGTGGAAAATGATTTTGGGGGAAATGATACACCCTGAAGATATTCGAAGAATTTTTAAAAAATCCGGGTATCGTGAACCTAATAATCAATAATAATAATGCACTGCAAATTATTCGCCAAATCCAAAATTAAGTGCTCGAAAAATAGCCTCAGATGTGGAAAATGATTTTGGGGAAATGATACACCCTGAAGATATTCGAAGAATTTTGAAAAAATCTGGGTATCGTGAACCTAATAATCGAAACCTTTAGTCAGTGACATCAACAGTTCCAAGAGAATTGAATTCGCAAAAAAAAACATGAAAACGAGAATATACAATTTTTGGAAAGAGTATTATTCACTGACGAAACTAAGTATAATATTTATAATGTTATAATTTTATAACTTTGTAATTTTAAAATTTTATAATATTATAACTTTAGAATTTTACAATTTTATAATATTATAACTTTATAACTTTATAATTTTATAATTTCATAATTTTATAACTTTATAATTTTATAATTTTATAATATTATAACTTTATAATTTTATAATTTTATAATTTTATAACTTTATAACTTTATAATTTTATAATATTGTGGCGGCCAAGGCACCACATACGCCTTAGTCGTTCGAAGCCGCTACAATGTATGGTTGCACACGAGACGACCAGAGCCGCGCGAGCCGAAAAGCTCCAAATCAATCAAAGCTACTTTAATGTTTCTATTTTGCCCGGCGCACATGTCACTGTAAGCTATAACGTGTCTTTCACTTCTTAAATTTTTAACATGTTTTAGGATGCATGAAACAATTTCATGAGCACCTCTGGATGCAATAGTTTCATCCCAAACGTGCATGTAAACATTAAATATCTTTATTTAAGTATAAATGGAGTTAGGCCACTTTCAAATTACACGGTTCAATTATTGAACTAACTCTGAAAACTTATGTGTCAAGAATGATCGTATTTGCTCGGAATATAAGCAACCTGAAATGCTTTACTGATAAATAACACGAAGTTGTACATGTAACCATGGTAACCGGAAAAAATTGAAAAATGAAGTTAGGCCACTTTCAAAATAAACGGCTCATATAGAAATTAAGAAGCATTTATTATACAAACGTACCGCATGAGGGTCACGAAAGTGTTCGAACGCGTGGAATTTATTGAAGTAAACATTGTTTTGCTTCAAAATATATAAACATTTGTAAGTTGATTCCGTCTCTAGGCATCGTATGGTAAGTTCTATGTCGTTAGTTGTCGATTATCGTGTGTTCGGTGACAATGAATTCAAAGAGAACAGAAACGCAAATATGCGAAAGGGAAATTATAGTTTTTTATATTTGACCCATCACCGTATTGGTGTTTTCGAACAGAATATTTTCTAATCCTGACATTTTTTCTATCATACAAAATAATAATTTAAAGTGATCAAGTTAGGTAAAATACCTTGTATAGTTAAAAAATGTAATAATTTAATTCTACTCTGACGTAAGATAAATGCAACAAAATTCCGCAAGAATTCGTTAGGTATTTACGTTTAAAAGGTTTTAATTAAAATATGAGAACTATTTGAATATTGAAAATACGAGGTTTGAGAAACAGTGCCGTGAGCTGTATTAATTACACGACAAGAGAAGAATAATTTCCGTGGAAAGAAAATGTCAGACGTACAGTGGCTCGCGAAAGTGTTCGAACGCATGCAAGAAATAAATGAAACGAAAGAGATATTTATGTTAGAGTTCAGTTTCGAAGATAGCATCTTAATAGCTATTAGACACAAGTATCAGGATAATATGTGCAAAATTTCAACTCAATCCAACAGTGTATATTGAAATTAAGAAGCATTTATTATAGAAACGTATTGCACGAGGGTCACGAAAGTGTTCGAACGCGTGGAATTTATTGAAGTAAACATTGTTTTGCTTCGAAATATGTAAACATTTGTATGTTGATTCCGTCTCTAGGCATCGTATGGTAAATTCTATGTCGTTAGTTGTCGATTATCGTGTGTTCGGTGACAATGAATTCAAAGAGAACAGAAACGCAAATATGCGAAAGGGAAATTATAGCGAGGATGCACAAAGATGGAAAATCGTATCGAGAAATAGCTAAGTGTGTAGGTAGAAGTGTGTCCACTTATTATAAAAAAGTTAAAAACTGAAGGTACAGTGATAAACAAACAGCGTGCAGGCCGGCCGAGCAAGTTAAGTGCAAGGGAACAGAAGATTGTTGTTCGCGAAATTAAAAAAGATCCGACTATTTCGGCAACAAGACTTGCTCAAATGGTTAGCGAGGATTTTGGAAAAATTGTTCACCCCGAATTATGCCGCGGAATACTACGGAAAAATAATTTTAATGGTAGAGTACCAAGGAAGAAGCCATTCATCGGTAAAGCGAATAAAGCTAAACGATTAAAGTTTGCAAAAGAATACGAAAGTAAAAATTGTAACTTTTGGAACAGAGTTATTTTCTCCGACGGAAGTAAATTTAACATATTTGGGTCGGATGGACAGCGATATGTGTGGAGAAAACCGAATACGAAAATGAATATGAGAAATTTAACTGTGAAACACGGAGGAGGTTATGATTTGGGGGGTGCATGGCAGCAAGTGGGGTAGGAAATCTTGTATTTATAGACGGTATTCTAGACAAGGCCAAATATTTATATATTTTAAAAGAAAGTGCTGTCAAATTAGGCCTGTTAGAAAATTTTTACTTTCAGCAAGATAGCGACCCTAAGCACAAAGCTAAGATTGTGCAAGATTATTATATAATACACCAGCTCAAAGTCCAAACATGAACCCCATCAAGCATTTGTGGGCCGAAATCGGTAGAAGATTAAAAAACCACAATATTTCATCAAAGGATGGATTAAAACAAAAAATATTACAAATATGGAATTCCATTGAAGCCACAGTGAGGGAGAACTTGGTGCACAGCATGGGACGACCTCTAAGTGAAGTAATTAAGGCAAAAGGAGGTCCAACCAAATACCAACGTAGTGAAAAATGTAAATTATTTCTTCCGTTCGAACACTTTCGTGACCCTCATGCGGTACGTTTGTATAATAAATGCTTCTCAATTTCAATATACACTGTTGGATTGAGTTGAAATTTTGCACATATTATCCTGATACTTGTGTCGATTATCCTGATAATAGCTATTAAGATGTTATCTTCGATCAATGCCCGTAAATATGGTGTTAAAGATATTTAATAATTTTACTCTAAATGTGCATGCCTACTACTTAATCTTCGTCCAGAAAATTTACAAACTACATTGAAATGTTTTAATTTTTATTGGATAAAAGATAAAACACCCTTGAAAACGAATTTTGTTTCAATACCGCAATTAGTTCCAGAGGAAACAATTATTATTCAATTAAATAAACAATTTATAATCCAGTTTCATCGCACACTGATCGTGTGATCAACAGGAATTGCTGAAACTTCTTTAGGTATATTGCGTCAGAGTAAATATTAAAATAAATAGGGAATACAGCGTAAATTATAAGAGTAGTTACATTTGTCGGTTAGAGGATGAAATGCCCTTTAAAATGAGTGTTCATACAAGTCGATAGCGTTATTAGTTTCGAAGATGTAAGGATTTGAAGCGTTTGTTTACATTCCATTGTTGACGTCGTGAGGTCAATGAACTCTTCTTGGAAATACTACGGCTTTGGCAAGGTCGTTGACCGTACGTGCTCGTAATAAATAGTAAATATTACGTCACGTGCGAGACAGAGAGGTCCTACGCGTAAAACAGAGACAGAGCTAGTTGAATTTCAAAAATTACACTTTCCTTTACACAGCAATATCTCCAAAAGAGGAAGTCGAATCGACATAAACCGAAAACCATTTCAAAAAGGAAAGAATTCAACTGACCAGCGAATGTCCTGGCTTCTAAGACAGGACCAGGACAATTCTATACAAAATATTAAATCTTGCCTCTAGTCGATTATTTTGGCTGCTTTATAAGTATACGAAGTTTCATCAAAATCGAAGCCAGACCGTTCGCGAAGGTTCCTTGTAAGACCAGGATGGAATGTTTCCTTTTCCGGTAACAACAGGCAACCCTATAGAAGTTTTCATTTTATGTCAATTTAAAATTCGTTAATTACAATAAAAGCGAATCCAAAAGCATCAACGAGTCAGTGCTAATTCGATATCTTCGATTACACTCTGTTAGTGGATTTAATCGCGTGCCACTTGCGGGAATCGTTAGTCAGGGATTCAATATGGTTAAGCTAGAAGCAATCGTCCACAAAGACCCGAAACCTAATCGATTCTTCAATTCGTAACGTTTCAGCCGTACATGGTGCCCATGAGAGTACTGATGTTACTAGGAGGTGGACTGCTGGCAGTGTTTGGAAGCGAAGCAATCGAGCTTGGTGGCGCTGGACCCTTGGCAGTGGTCGCGGCCGCCTTTATCAGCTGTTACTTCTGGCAGAAACAGGGCTGGGAAGTCGACGACGTAAGTACATTTCCACATGCATGATAATAAATTCAACTATGTTAACTCTTTAATCCGCGCGCGCCAACGCTGAAGATGGAGAATTATTTAAATTGACACAGGAGCGTTGATTAAGAGAACCTCGGTGTTTCCTCGCCGAGTGCTTCATTCATAACAGTAGTGTAGGCTCCCACTATGTTCGTGGAGCCGTTTTATTTAGTAAATAGAAAGTTCAATACTATTTACAAATACTTGAATTTATTTACAATTATATACATATGTGTTAACAGTTTAATGTTCAGTGTTCTTGTTTCGATTCTTACGGAGTTCTTAATATGTTCTGACTGTTCTTGAAATGTTCTAATCTGCAGAGTCCTATGCCCCACGAATATATACAGATTCCAAAATAGGTGGAGACATTGTGTATCCAATCAAGCCCCTGTCCATCCCTCGTGGGCCAGACCTCAGATATTCGAAAACCCGCCCACTAAGGGTGGTACAGAGGTGGGTGTCCGCGGTCTCAAGGGGCAGGTATGGTCCCAAAGTACGGTGCTTAACGGATTTATAATACGGCAATTTTCTTTGTACCATGAGGTACTTGCCAAATAGCTAATTAAGTAATTTAAAATAACATTAACTAAATGACGGGTATGCTAATAACTGTTGGAATTCCCAACAAGTAGATACAGCGTAAAATAATTATAAAAATGAGGGGCTGAAATTCTGAATACTCTAGATTTACGGATATTAATTGCACATATTTGTATTGTAATCCGTTGTGTTGGCATTTATATTAAAATGTAATTTTTCTTTTAATTGGGATATACACTCTGTTCCACAAGAGCGTGTCGGTCATACTTTCTGCGAAAAAAGGAATTGTTTATAATTGAACGTATGACCTCGAAATATAAGCATTGTACTACAATGCATTTACTTAGTATGTTGTCCAGTCGCCATCATTGTCGATTATAGCCCGCGCACCGTTTAGGCATACTTTCGGCGAAATTTTCCGCCATTGTTTCGGGTAGAGACCTCCATATTTGGCGGATGTGACGTGTCAATTGTTTCACATTAAATACTCGCTTTTCTATGAGCTTGACCTTCATTGCTGCCCACACGTTTTCGATGGGATCAGCGTCAGGCGACTGAGAAGGCCAATCCAGTGTCCTGATGCCATTTTCGCGTTACTACTCCGTGCATGCACGACTTCGGTGCTTAGGGTCATTATCCTCCTGAAGCACCCACAAGCTGTTATCTGAGCCAAATCATCTTCCAGCAGACTTTAATAAACAATGTTGATATATTTCGATCATCTTTTGGGCATTAAGATTGTCCGTAAACAGGTACAAAACTCCAAATCCTTGTCTACAGAAGCAACCCTAGACATGCACCTTTACCGGGTGCTTCACTGTGCGCTGGATAACGGGATCTGCACGAGGTGACCACGCATGCCTTCTTGTACCCCAGGCCCAAAAAGAGGATTCATCCGTAAAGATAATGTTGGAGAAATCACGGTCGATATTAACCCTCGCCCACAACAAACGCTTTTCAACAAGCTTTTCTGTCAAAAATGGTTTCAACTTTGTGCACCGCCACCCAGAGTTAGCATCATGTAATCGACGTCGAATTGTATTGAGGCTCACTTCTACACCCTTTTTCGCTAAAACTAACTTTTCCTAGGGAATACCCAGGATTCTTTTTACAGATTCTTAAAATTGCTTTGTCGTCCTTTTCTGACGTTGACAGACGCTTGCCAGGTTGTGGCAGGTTGTCAACATTTTTAACTTCCTCATAACTTTTCACCCACTTCTTAATAAAGGACACTGACTTGCTCATGTAGCGACTGACCGCTGCGAACGACATTTTTGGTCCTTTTGGATGATTATAGAGAAACACCGCTTCGAAGTGACTAGCGTACGCTGCACTCATTGTTATTTTTGTCACCTTCAACGCAGATAACAGCCCACACTACTGATTTAACCTCAAAGCATTGAAGTCAAGTGTTCAAACTGTTGAATTAACCGATTGTTAAACTGATGCGTCGTCTAGTGGCAAAATTAGGAACGACACGCTCTTGTGGAACTGAGTATAGATATCGTTTGGAATGCTAAATAAACAAGAACTGTTCGACAAAATTATTTGGAATTTCAATTGGATAAAGTAAATTTGACAAAAGCTGTGATCTGAAATGTAATGAAAAAGTGATTTGAAATTTTAGTTGGACAAATTAAATTTTACTAAAGTTATTATTGCACAGAAAGGTCATGAAAAAGATCTTTGACATTTCAATTCGGTCAAGTTAAATTTTACAAAAGCTATGATGACGGAACTGATGACGGAACAAATCGGTAAATTTGATACTAAAGTACCAATAGTTTCTTATTCGAATAGAACTCAGTTATGACTCACGGTAAAATTAAGAAAAAGAAAAAGAATTTTTAATCGACAGTGTTTTAAAGTCAAATTATTAATTTGCGTTGCGGAAATTGATGTCTGAATAATAAGTTTAAAAAACTATTCACGATATCAAGTGGATTTGACTGTATTAAAAAATATGGTATTTATATGGAGTTTAAATTTCAGAATGATGGGTTACTCAAACCGTGTGTATTTTAAATAAAATTATAAACTTATCCATTGCGATTTTATCATCCACTTGAAGGATGAAAAATGTTATATGATGAACATAGGTTCAGAAACTGTACCTTTTCGCGATATAAACACGTTTTCATTATTCTGGCGTATATTGAAAATATTTAAAAATTCGTAGTAAATAGACATAGTATCGTCTAAATTATGTCTAAATTTGATAAAAACTACACTTTTTCAGAATCTGTGTCGATCTTTTCCATTCAATAAACAAGTGTAACTTCTTTGGAAACGTGGTAGTTAAAGATCCATTGTCACATCGACTTTGCCATTGAAATATTCTATTGCAAAGAAATGCAGAGTGACCAAGTTGGTTAAACCGAATGCAAAATTATTCCGAACAACTAGTATTTCTACTTTTTATTCTTGGAAAGTTTCCCGATGTCTCGTTTCGAGATTTTCCACGAAACGAGCTTGTCGTTAGTGTTTCGTATTGTTAAATACATAAATGAATTTTGTCAAACTATGATTTTCAACGTATCAGATAAAAGTTGCAAATAGTATAATAAGTATTTAGAACAATGTGAGTTAAATATAGTTCACGAATATCGAGGATTTCTTTTATCTCGAATATAGAGGACGCTGTTGACTCTCGTTGATTCTGTGAAAATTGCAAACGACGCAATACTTTCTTCGATTCGAATTTGTGGCAGGTCGTAGAAATTCGAACGACGACAAATTGCAGATATTTCAGGCCGTGACAGCTGTTTCAACTAAAGCTTCTTGATCAATATTTATAATTCTAATCCTACGTCTTCAGTGTATTATACTAATGTGGCTATTTTTGTTTTTAATTTTCATAAAACATATATATTTCTATTTGTACTGTACTTCTTGTTATTCTTATTTCTTATTCTTTGTTATAACTGCAATTATATCTACATATGTATTCATTTGTTGAAGCCAATCCAATTGATTCCGAAATTAAATAATTTTCGTGAACGATAATTGGATAATCGGTTGCTAATTCTAGTATACGAGGCATTCGTTGTTTTCGTTGTTGTAAATCAGTTTACCAATAGTTTGTTAGCCGTGTAAAACGTAATAATATTGCGGACGCGCGAGGAATCGCGGACGCGAGTAAAAGGTGATAGTAATTTGCCCTTTCTAACGAATTGGCGTTCCTGCGAATGTTTATTCCCGTTGGTAAATAACGTAATTTTATTCGGTTGAAATGTTGTGCCGCGTGCTGATATAACTCTCGTCCTGAGTTTCGATATTTTAATTAACTTAAATGAGCAGCGCGACTACAAACTGATTTCAGTTCTGAACTCATGAAAGTGAAATCTCTTGTTCCGCGCGAAGTCAACGATGAATAATAAAGTACTGTTTCGGTTACGTTAATTGAATTTGCGAAGCATATTTAACGCGAAGCAATAAACAAGCGCGCATAATTAAATGAATATAAAATGTATGGAAAAATGATAAATTCGTACGTGTCTAATTATCTGTAATTATAACTATATCGTTGTTGATGTAGTATATTAGTAGTGATAAGAATCTCTTTATATATTTAAACATATTTTCGAATATTGGAATTTTTTAACTAACAGGAACCGAATTGTGCATTCTTCATTTTCAATATTGATTATAGTTTTTTAAGGTTAATCAATTATCAGTGGACTACGAAGTACATACAGGTCAAACAATATTATCGCTAAAGGCATATCTATTATCAATGTCAGTACGTTTATTTAAATGGCACCTCATTTCCCCCTTGGCAAACTCGATACCTTATCGTAGTTTAAACAGTATACAAAGGAATATTACTTGTTTCAAGGTGTTTAATTACTTTGGTTGGAAAGTTCGGTAACGCATTCAATAAATGACGTCTCCTTATTAGTGGTTACTCTAAGGATGGCTTCGATGCTTAACAAATTGTTGCAAATAGAGAATGGTCCATATGTCATAATCTTAAATAATCATTATTATAAAAATGAATTACATGATTTAGTTTCGAGCTGCTAAGATATTAACAAGAACATTTGTGATCATATATTATCACATATAAACACGATTGTTGGCACTTATAATGATGGTGAATAGACAAATGTAGTTATTGTTACATATAATCATATGCAAACAGAGACAAACGATTCTTGTTGTATATATTCCTACATATAAACACGTATAAATTAAATTATTGTTACTTGTGATCGCATACTATCATATATAAACACGATTATGGTCACATGTGCACACGATTGTTGGCACTATAATTACAAACAGAGACAATCGATTATTGTCGTATATATTCACGGTCGAGGATTGTATATATAGCAACCGAGGGTCGAGCGCTTGTGAGAGCGCGACCCCTCTGGTGGCGAGCATGGGAAGCGACGCCACAGACATGTAAATATGATTATCGTTAC